AGGTATGGATCACGTCTTACGCTCCCTGCAGGCGATAAATTGATATTAAACCTTATTCGGTTTGTTTTTTCATTCAATATCTGAAATATTTTCTAGTTTGTTTGAATAATCTTCATAGAAAATGCAGATGTTTAAATAGCAAACTGGTTAAAAATGCCCAGTTACTATTGAATTCCATCAGCTGTAAAGATAAAGGTGCACATTTCCAAACTCTACAGCAGAGCGCTGTGTGGACGTGAGCACTGGGATCTTATTTTTAGCAGATGAATTCTTTATCTGATTTAGCTCCGTCTGATGGAGGCCTGGGATTTACTATTTCCAGCATACGGACATAAATATCATCGCTAAATGAATCCGTGCTGCCACTTTTTCTCGTCTCTTTGCAGACTGGCAGATGATGCCCAGGCTTGAAGTGGTCAGCTAATTGTACTTGCTGTTTTATCAACAGTGCCAGTTTTTGCCAAAACAGGGATCGTGCAGAACCATGTTTTCGTAGACACGCGAAGGAAAATCACTCCATCTGAAAAAATACCGTATGATATTTTGCTTCAACGTAGAATAAAGTTTAAGGGGGAATAAATGTTGATTCGGTTTGATCCTTTAGGAAATTATTCAGTGTGTCATTAGATATTTTAGCACAGTTTAATTTGATTATTTTGGTATGATTTAGAGTTATTCTCATAAAAAATGCTTTTAAAACACAAGTGTGACCCAAGGATTTACACAGTAGTGGTGTATAGAATATAAGAACAGTACACTTTTTAAAATTATTGTTATTATGACCTGTCCAGGGTGTATCCTGCCTTCCGGCCAGTGACCGTTGGGATAGGCTTCAGCACTCCCTGTGACCCAGAAGTGGTTTAGAAAATGTGTGTTATTATTATCACTGTTATTACACTGTTAGTATTATTACTTTTGAAATGAGTGCGTACCTTATTATGGTTAATAAAGTTGTGAGCCGTGAGAGGCCTTGCATTGCACATATTTACCACGGTTAAGGAGTGTCGTTGGGCAAATACAGTGGAGTAATATGATTATATAAGATACCTTATCATGAAATAGTAGTTGAACGATCAGTTCTTCTGCTAAGCAATGTAGTTCTTCACCTGTGGTTGCAAAACAGGCAAAAATGATTCCAATAACAATATATTGTTTTTACTGTATAAGCACTTTAATACACAGTTCAACTGATGTGTTACAGTGGCTTTTAATGTGGCTTAACCAGTTAAATTTTAGCACCAGAACTGAGGTTTCATAAAAAATTGGGGAAAAAAAAAGAAAAGTTCAGAACGAGTGTTGTTGATTCGCCACTTCAGATCAGATTAATGTGTTTTTCACCGCCTCCGTGTTCCAGTCGCGCCGCTGACGCTCTGCCTCCCTCTGTCTGTTCTCTCTGGGTGCCAGTGTTGTCCATTCAGCTCTGCCAGCCGGCTTTGATTTGATGTGAAGTGACATTTTACCCCCAACCCCAGGCTCTGCCCTGGCACTAGACTCTCCGCTCACCCAAAAGAGTCGCCCGTCTCGGCTCTGTTTCGGCTGGGACGGGAAAAGTGCACTTCAGCGGCCATTTTTAATCAGCTCCTTCCCTCTGTCCAGCTGACCGTGGCAGATGGAGGTCATTACCGAACAGCAAATCTGCTCAATTTACCGACCATACTGCTTCTGCTCGGATCATTGGCCTGCTCCTTTCTCTCTCTCTCTCTCTCTCTCTCTCTCTCTCTCTCTCTCTCTCTCTCTCTCTCTCTTTTTCTTTCTTTCATTCTCTTTCTTTCTTTCTTTCTCTCTCTCTCTCTCTCTCTGTCTCTCTTTTTCTTTCTTTCATTCTTTCTTTCTTTCTTTCATTCTTTCTTTCTTTCTTTCTTTCTTTCTTTCTCTCTCTTTCTTGCTTTCTCTCTCTCTCTCTCTCTCTCTCTCTCTCTGTGTTAAAGAGCTGCGTAGTTGCTATGAAAGATTTAATACTTAAACACTTAAAGCTTATTTGCGAAGCAGAATCCAAATTCAGAAGGCGGTAAAGCATCTCTGATATGGAAGAGTGTCTCGAGTGTTTTCGTCTGTCCTTGTTGTCTTTTATCTTTTTTTTATTCTCTCTCTCGTCTGGTTGATTTCCAGCTGATCAGTTTCTAAATCTCGGAAAAAATAAATATCATAGTACATATTATGCATCATGAAAGTGTCTTGAACTATCATGATGTAAAATTTCATATATACGAAATATAGAATGTACCACAACATTTGCACAGGCCGTTTTTTAAATTCATTAGATAAACAGTAATTGTGAATTAATTTGTATTCTTTAAGGAGATGTGTGCTTATTTTCTCTTAGAAAATCAACAAAGGCCCAGTCCTATTTCTTTGTTTTTGTGTGTCTCGTTGCCCCTTGGAACTGAGTTACAGGGTAGTGGTTGAAATCTTCCCTCTGAAATGGGACCCTCAAATAAAAAGAGCATCACTTCATTAACAGCTACCAGCGCTGCTCTGTAGGCGACCCTGCCAGTCTGCAGTGACAGCAGAGGAGGGTAAAGTTCAGCTCCTCACTGCTGGGCTTTAGTTACATTTAGGGCATCATATGACTTCAAAGAGGGGGGCAATTATTTATTATCACCACCCCTAATTCTTCAGTGATATGAAGCTGAAGTCAGATATTCACCAGCTTCTTGTTCAAAGGAGGGTCATGTAGGGTCATGTAGCCCCAACACTTCGCCCTACCCCTCTATCTCAACAAGAATCAGGACACCCTACCCCTAGACATGAACACGCAAAACAGAGGGGTAGGGCTGAGTGGTGGGGGCGAGGGGTGAAATAGGATTGGGCCAAAATGTTGTTTGACCAGGAGTACCCAAACTTTTGCATACAGGTCTTTGACCAAGCGTGTGACACAGAAGCGCAGATCTCTCTCTCTCTGGTAAAGAGCTGTGTAGTTCCTGTAGAAGATTTAATACTATTAAACATTTCAAGCTTGTTTGTGAAGCAGAATCTGAGTTCAGAAAGTGGTAAAGCATCATGATGCATGAGAGTTATGAGTTATGAGAGAAGAGTGTCTCGAGTGTTTTGGTCTCCCTGTCCTCTTTTATCTCATCCCTTTCTTTTATTCTCTCTCTCGTCTGGTTGTTTCCCAGCTGATCAGTTTCAAACGAAGTATTTAAATCTCTCAGAAGGCAACAAATAGGCGTGTGGTTTGTGGCCCATTGCTCATAATTCCAGCGGTCAGTCGGGACTGAAAACAAAACCGACGCAGCCAGCCACGGGTTTATAACGTGACGGTACAGTAAATTCAGCAGATTCGAGTTGCGTCATCTAATTGCTCTAGCATGCTGCGCATTCAGCCCTTGGAGAAGCGGAGAGAGTGAGGTCCGGAGATGTAGGTTAAGCTCAGCTTGTGTACGTTTTGCTCACTTTCTTCAGGGCTTCGGCGCTGCAGCCTAACTGGTTCAGTCTGAACTTCGAGGAGCTTGTGAAGAAAAAGCTTACGTAAGAGACGTACAGATGGAGAGAGAGGGAGGGAGTTGGTGTCTCCGATCAGTTAGACACGGTGGATAGTAGATGACGCGTCCTCTTCGGATTAGGTCACTGTTTGCATGGCCTTGTGTAACACTGCGGGATGCATGCGCCGATTCTTACTCTGCTAAATGGCCTGACGTTAGATTGGATTAGATTGGATTCAACTTTGTCATTGTGCAAAGGCTACAGAGCCAATGAAATGCAGTTAGCATCGAACCAGACGTGGAAAATACAGTATTATTTACATATAAAATGCAGGAAAGTAACCATGGTAAGGGATGCTCTGGTTACAGTATGTACAATTAAGGATGGTAGAGGGGTAAACAAAATATAGATATGCAAGTATAAATATAATATACATATATGCAGAGTGGAGATCACCATTTTTGTTGTTTTTCAGTTTTTGACATAATTTGAAAGTGTCTGCTGTCCTTTACATTGTGTATGGATTTCATGATGACTGGACCAACAGAAATGACCCAAAATGATTTGGAAAAAATTCTGGTTCCATTGACTTACATTAAATGTAAAAATATGTTTTTCCTTCTCCTGTAAAGTCACCATTTTGAAGATACGAGCTTTTCTTCTGACTACAGCGATATGTAAAATGAGGTTAAGGGTTAATGGTGTTGAGCGAGAAATACGGCGGCTGGTCAGTGAAGCTGTGAAAGAGCTTTAAGAGTAGAGGAATAGAACATGTGTGGGTATTTCTGTGTTTTTAACTTCACAGTGCAGAACGATAAAATTGGCTAAAAATCGAATTAAAACAATGTTCTCTTGCCCCGAATTTAATGGGTGAGCAAACACTGCAAAAAATAATGTCTAGTTAAGTAAAATTATCTTAAATATGGTCGGTAAATATAATATTTCTCATGTTGAGATTGTTGTAGGTTTAATTTAAGATTATTTACCTTATTACTAGATTTTTTTAATGTCATTTTATTAGGTAAAATTATCTCATTATGTTGGCAGATCATTTTGATTGTTGTAAGAACCCAGCAAAATTATCTGCCATTACAGTGCGATGATTTTACTTAATAAAATTACTCAAACAAGTAAAAAATGTCTAGAAATAAGCTAGAAAATCTTATAATAAGTGCACAACCATCTCAAAATGGGAAATATTAGATATATTGACTCGATTGAAGATCACGTCACTTAACAAGATTTTTTTGCTGTGAAGATATGTTTGCTGTCCAAAGTTCTTTTGGTGCTAATGTAGCTAACAGATAATGAAACCTTATACCCACCAATTAGCATCGTGCAAAGTCACGCATGTGTCTCAAACTACGTTGGCTTGTTGAGTAATTTCAGACTTACTAATGTGCTTCTGATACTGTTATCTACAAAAATTGACAAGTAGCGACAAAATGTACACTCCTAAAAAGCTGGTTCTTCAAGGGTTCTTTAGTATGAAAATGGTTCTATATAGAACCATGAACACTCAAAATACCCTTTGCATGATTGAAGTGTTCTCTGCATCATGAAAGGGTTCCTCAGACTGATGGGGAGTGTGCTGTACTACTGTTTCCACTATCAATTACAGTGTTGTGATGGTATTAATTTGTGCTTGTCTCACAAAACTCATTTCAGACTTGAAGGCAGCAACGTATTTTCAAATAGTCAGTATTTATTATCATAACCGTGTTCGTAACAGTCTGCCTGGTTGACCTTTGCTCCCACAGAAGCAGCACTGCACAGCCTTTTGAGGGCGCTGACCAACGAAACCTACAGCGACTCCATGCAGCACCTAGAGCGAGAGCAGGCCCTCGCCAAGCAGTTCGCCGAAATCCTGCACTTCACGCTCCGCTTCGACGAGCTCAAGGTGGGACGTGCATTCTCTCCACATGCTATACACACTAGCCTGTTTGCTGATGTTTACCAAAAGAGAAGCCGTGGAGGTCATAACCGATCATAATGTTGGGGTCTTGTTGATCATGGTATAGTTTTGTAAATGACAGTGATTCAGCTCTTTCTGGTGTGGTCCACACGGTTGGTGCTGTCTAGATATAGCTCGCTTATAGAGCTTATAGAATAGCTTAGTCAGCATAAACTTTATTTGTTGTTTCCAGGTTAGCTGAGGCTGCAGCATGATAAATCATATTTTTATTAATCGCCATTTGAGTTTCTGTGATAAACACGTAGCAGTTGTCATCATAAAGGAGCTTCTTAAGAAATTAAATATATATTTTTTTAGTTTTTGTGTGCCTGTATAAACAATGAAAAGAATCTGCACAATACGGCCAAAAGTATGTGGACACCTGACCATCACACCTATATGAACTTGTTGGACGTCCTGTTCCAAAACTGTGTGCATTAACATGGAGATTCGTCACTCCAGAGAACACGTTTCCACTGCTCCAGAGTCCAGTGGCGACGCTTCACACCACTCCAGCCGACACTTGGCATTGCACATAGTGATCTTAGGCTTGGACATTAGCTACTCTGTTATATAGCCTTATTGAACACTTCATTTTATGTCCATATCGTGAGAGTAGCTACACACTTTTATGTTATGACCACTTCCCTTAAATATGATAGCAAGTTTTAAGTCCCTTAGAGAGAGGTGGTACAGTGAATGTCCAGGTGAAGCTTAAATTTCAACAATAAGTGCAAACAGAACATGTGATCAGTGAGCTGGGACAGTATGTCACATCATTCTTTATGGTTATCATATGGAGTCTGTTTCTGGAGATTACACAGAGCTCTTCAGAACAAGGCAACCTGATCTCATTAGCAAAACACTAATTATCCCTTCCTAGTTTTCATTCGTTATTAGCCAGGTTCGCATTTTTGGGTGACGTGCTCCTTCTAACAGTTTATGCTTATATATTGTAAGGCACTAAAACATAGATGTCACCCTGCAGATCCTTTTTTCCCCGCCAAATACTCTGAGTGACCAGGATATAACGGCTTAACGAGCTTCTAATTCTCAGTAATTCTAATTCTCGGTAATTGCAGGCTAATATGATTAGCACTCGGCTAATGAGAAGATCGTTTGTTTGTAGTTGTTCGCCTGCACGCTACCCCAGGGGTTTACTGTTGGATTAAAGTAACAAACGAGGTATTTGTCTTTCCCTCTTTTGTTCTCACCCCCTCCTGTTTTTGGCAACACCTACGCTTTCCTTTTTCCTCAATCTAAACCTAATGTTACGAGACAGACACGTTCCAGTTTCGCAGCACAGACCCCTCTCCTCAGTAAAGGCCCCATCATGTTGAGTTAGTGTATATTTCCCAGTGCCCTTTATCTCAGTATAGTGAGTCATGTCAGTTAGTTTATCTAAGGAGCTCTACTCCTCTCTGCGTTTCAGACAACGATACAACCTTAAAAGGCTGGCCAGTATCCCACCTAATGTGGCGAGGGTAGCCGACCTCATATCTGTCACAAGCGATCAGATGCAACTCCAGCCTTGTTTGTCCCAGAGCCAAAATTGTCGCCTTCTCCCATCTTCTCTCCCTCCCATTACCCCCGACAAGAACACACAGGCGCGCGCCACTACACCCCGCGGCAATGGGATGGGATGGCCCAATTAAAGAGCCCCCCAGATGGGGGTGCTAAAAGCAGGCAGGTAGGGGGTGCAAGGTGGCATGCCAGCCTCCATCCATCCGTGCCTCCTCCTTCCGCCCAGCTTGGTACTGTGACCTAATTTAGCCTGCCAGTGCTACAGTGCAGCACACTATGGGCCAGAATTAGCCCTCGTAACCTGGCACGGACGTTGGCATGGACTGGTCAGGCTCTTCCAAAGGCGTATGTGCATATGTGTAATGTCCTCTAGAAATGTTGTATTTCTGAATGTCTTTAGACAAACATTTTCACTTTTCTCAATGCAAATTAAGTAATGAAAATTTAATTAAGTAATTAAAATGTGATGTGACTCAAAATTTGATGATACAAAATGCTGACTGGCTGGCCCTCAGCCAGCCACGTAGGCAGTTTTCTCGAAGAAATATAACGGACCTTGTGAAATTTAGACTGCAGTTCGGGTTTTCTTTTTGCAACCATCCAGCATTTTCGTAGGAATCAGTTGCATCAGTGATTGAGGAACCTTTTTGGCTTCTACTATGGTTAATTACATCATTATTTGCAACCTGTTTTAGAAATTTGCAATTTGCTGTTCATCAGTAAGAGGTTGTGTAAGGATAAGTATAAGGGTAGATGTGTAAGGATAAGTATAAGGGTAGATGTGTAAGGATAAGTATAAGGGTCTACCAGGCCAGTGTAGATTAAAATTTATTTAGACTAAGCTAAAATGGTTGTATATTTATTTTATATCTAACGTTGCTGTCCAAAGGAAAACAAGTATCTCCAAAATAGTAACTGTACAGGAGAGGGCAAAACACTCTCTTACCTTTCAGTGTAAGTCAGTGTAAAGAGATTTTATTCCAACTGATTTTAGAGCTTTTCTATTGGTCCGTTCATCATGAAATTTTCACATGATGTAAAGGACAGCTGGTGTATTAAAATGATACAAAATACAACAGATATTAATGCATTGCAATAATACAGTAGTGATTTGAAGAAAAGTCTGACCATTTCAGAACCTCTCCTTCTCGCAGCCTGGTATTAATTGCGGTTATCATCCAATAACGGGTTTGGTTAATCAATACTTCATTAGTTACATGTTATATCAGTTACACGAGTTAAATCAGGGGTGCTGATGGTGTATTTGAACAAATATGTACAATGGCTGGGGCTGTCAAAGTGGTGTCTAGAACTAAACCTTTCGTGATGAGACTTTTTTACCATTTTCACGCTTATTTGTATTTATTTTAACTGGCAAAAACACCTTCTGCTGATATACAGTTTGCTTAGGGGGGCTAAGACTTCTGCACAGCACCGTATACTATTTTGATGTTGTTTTTCATTCCGGGAGACGAAGTGAGGAATCCGGTTTGACTGCCTGTCCAAACATGAACCTTAATAGTATGAACTGTCAGCTTCATTCAGAATTCAGAAGTTGGCCTGAATCCTGAAGAGGTCATTTTTCTGTCCGACCTTTCACCCCACATGCAGACACGCTGATCTCCAGCTCCCCTGCTCGACCCTGAAGACACTCCCTCTCGAAACAAGCGCACATCTCATTAAGCCGTGTCCCTACGCTGCTTACTCTCCTGTCACAGACGGCGTGTCTACTGCACTTAGCTTCCGCTCAGAGGAACCGAGCCAATGGGAGCAAATAGATCCCGACGAGCTGAGTGCTGACAAGAAAAGGGCCGTTTTGGCGATTCAAGGGAACCAAAATCCGTTTAAGCAAAGTAGTGGCTAATCCAATCACTATCCTTTACATTTCAGGCTGCCTTAAGCAATGTTTATTCTGCATTTGTCAAACGCTGCTGTCATAGAAAACCATGTACAGTAGCTGATTCGGTGCTGAAGGCAGGCAGGCTAGAAGCACAGAACCTCTAACTGCACACACACAAAGCTACATTCAAAGGGCAGCAAGTGTCTTAAAATAATCTTTAATTTTCCTGTTTTTTTTTTTTTTTCTTCTCAGATGATAAACCCTGCCATCCAGAACGACTTCAGCTACTATAGAAGGACGCTGAATCGCATGAGGATTAATAATGTCCCAGTGAGTGTCTGTCGAAAGTGTATTGCTGGCAGTTCAAGTTGTTGCCAAACCTGTTCTCTCCTACCTCATTTTCTCTGCTTTACTTGCCAAATCCATTTTATCCAAGCGAACAGGGGCGTTTGAAGGGATGCTCCCAAATTCAAGGCAATTCTTTGCCATTTCAAACAGTCTGCTTCTCTACCGCGCACAAAAAGTGACCCTCAGGGAACCACAGAGACCCAAACAGGAAAGGTCCCCCCCCCCCTCATCCCACCCCCCACACCACTGGGAGAGCTAGCGAGCGTGAAGTGCATTGAGGTGCACCGACACAAACTCCAGCACCTGAACCGTGGTCAGCTGCACACGTGCTGTCCCTCGAGACTCACAGCTCTCTCAGGAAAACCTAAAATCTGAACTGAGACGGGCCTAATATTCACCCCTGAGGGACTCCTCGCTGCCCATATACTGAGCCCAGCGGAGTAAGGCTGGTATTCCCCTCTTACTCTTCCTTACTGAACCCTGTAACCCCTCTGCCGTGGCAGCTCCCCTGAGCCCTGGGCCCTCAGTCTAGCAACTAAGCCAGTGTTTAATTTGGGCGCATGTTTTTAGGTTTGGCGCCAGCACAACATGCAGGTGTATTTAATTTACTGTGTGATGAATTCACTCATTTATGAAATTAGACAAATTTCGCGTAAAGAGTCCAAACGAATTTTTTGGCCGTTGCTCAGCTTTCGTGGCTTTGATATGAAGAGCTGTGTGTCGTCCAGCTTTTGTCACTATGGATTCAAAACAGAACCGTAATAAAGAGTAATATTGTGTTTTTAATGACTTAAAAGGTCTGCAGTGAATGAAACATGGTGGCTGCTTTTTATTCCTGGCATGAATCATCATGGCTGTCACATTTGTCCGCCCTGTTGTTTCTTGATGGATATATTTCTGAATATCCAATCAAACAGACTGCTGATATTATATATAGGGGTGGCCTTTCTTAAAGTGACCATTGATCAGCTGTCCATTTGAATGGAATGATGGAAGAGTATGATTTTTATGTGCTACGTCATTAACGATGTACTACCTAGGGGGTCAAACCCTGCAGTACCACCCTGAATAGTTTAGCTCTAACACATCTGATCCAGCTAATCTGGGATATTAAACATTTTCAGATTCATAACATTCCATCCGTTATGTATTTGATATGTCTTTATTTTCACCTGAAAAACTGAGATATCTTGCCTGCCATCATGTAGTACCCCACAATAGTAGTGCAGTCACCAGAATTATGATTAATTGAGTAATTTAATGATTATTTTGACAACACCATACATAGACTCCTTCAAAGATTACAAAGCCCTTTATTAGAAAACATCAAATAAGGAAGGCGTCAAGAAAGACTTCATTAAAGAATCTATAAATGTGTCAGAAATTCACATAAAAGGGCGTAGACTCTGTTTCTGACTTATAGAGAGGCTCATATAGGAATTTAAAATATGCATTTTCATTATGAGAATTATTTGCTCCATCATGGTAATCTTTAATAGTTTTTTGTTAGTATTTTTATTAGAGTATAAAGAGTTTAATCGAATACCTTTAAAAGCCATATATGAGTCCTGCGTCATATCTAAAAATAATTAATACAATATTTTTCTTTAAAAACTGATTATTGATTATATCGAACTAGTGGTCCCACAAAACCAAAACCATGTGGTCTGTTACAACTTAGATCTTCCTTCTATGCTGTCTTTATCTTATATAACTTTTTTTTAGAATTAACAGATTTAATAAAATTGCGTATTAATTGATATAATATTGAGTAACTCAACACATTGTGTTAATAAACGGTACAAACATGCATTCGTGAGATGCTGCTTGTGTGCGTTCGTGACTTTTTGTCTCTTTAAACGATGCACACAAAATATTTGCGTGCTAATAGCGCCCTCTTTTGGAGAAATGTCAGACTGCTAAACGTGCACTGTAGCCAACTTATTGATATCCAATAATAATCCATTATTTAGTAAAAGGAAACAAAACATTACATGAGTATATTATTAAACAATATTTAGCAAGATATTTAAAATTAAATGATTGCTCTCTAGTCCTCTTTCAGGACTCTTTACCAGCATGGTCAGCACAGGACTGACCTATCTCATTTCCCTTTAGTGAATATTTTTGATTCCTGCCTTAAGCCCTATTCAGATGGGATTGGCCCTAACCCTGGCCCTAATCCTAATCCTAACCCTAACCTTAACCTCAACCTAAAACCTAATCCTAACCCTCACCCTGGCCCTAATCCTAACCTTAACCTCAAACCAAAACCTAATGCTAACCCTCACACTGGCCCTAATCCTAACCCTAACCTTAACCTCAACCCAAAACCTAATCCTAACCCTCACCCTGGCCCTAATCCTAACCCTAACCCTAACCTCAACCCAAAACCTATTCCTAACCTTAACCTCAACCCAAAACCTATTCCTAACCTTAACCTCAACCCAAAACCTAATCCTAACCTTAATCTCAACCCAAAACCTAATCCTAACCCTCACCCTGGCCCTAATCCTAACCCTCACCCTGGCCCTAATCCTAATCCTAACCTTAACCTCAACCCAAAACCTAATCCTAACCTTAATCTCAACCCAAAACCTAATCCTAACCCTCACCCTGGCCCTAATCCTAACCCTCACCCTGGTCCTAATCCTAATTTTAACCTCCCTCATATGTTTTTGATGTTACTGAGAGTCCATTAAGTGTTTGTCTCATCTAAAAGGACGACTCAAAATAAAGTGTCACCTAAACTAATCCTGCTCTCTCTCTCTCTCTCTCTCTCTGTCTTTTTCCCTTCTTTTTCTGTAAACAAAGAGTAAACCTATTTTCGTTCTCTGTACAGGCAGAGGGAGAAAATGAGGTCAACAATGAGCTGGCCAATAGAATATCTCTGTTTTACGCTGATGCCACACCCATGCTGAAGACGCTGAGTGATGGCACGACAAAATTTGTGTCTGAGGTAGGAAACACCACCGAAGAGTGGTCAGTAAGACCGGCATGTTTTCATTTCAGGAACGCACTAAAGGTCTTCTTCCAAATAACTCCAGCCGTGTTTCTTTGTACAGAACAAGAACTTGCCCATCGAGAACACAACTGATGTGTTGAGCACCATGGCAAGCGTGTGCAAAGTCATGCTGGAGACGCCGTAAGTCTCTCGTCATCTCTTTAAAACTGTAATTGGGGACAAAATATTACATATAATATAAAAGATTGAAAATATTTACAATCAGTATTTCACAAAACAAATGCGAGTGAAAGGCAATGACCCAGTTCCATGCTTTAGTCTCTCTTGCTGTGTTGTACAGTGAGTACCGTAGCCGTTTCAGCAGCGAGGCGACCGTGTCCTTCTGTCTGAGGGTGATGGTGGGCGTAATCATCCTCTACGACTACGTCCATCCTGTCGGCGCTTTCGCCAAGTCCTCCAAAATAGACGTGAGTGAATGTTTGCTATGTGAAACTTCACGTTAATCCCAGAGTGTTTCATTTCACCAGGGTATGTTTTGGTTTGTCCGTCTGAATTTTCATGACCAAATCGTAAGGCAAATTATTCAGTAACTGCATGAAATAAATGTCCATTTTTATTTTTTTTATTTATTTATTTATTTATTTATTTTTTGTAAAAGCTCCCCTCAAATTAAAGAACATGTGTTTTATGATCACACATATTGCTATATGCTTACAATTTACAGCTGAAAGCCAAAAATCTTAGACGCTCTTTGTATTTTTTTATAGAAATAATGTTTACAGTGCAGATCACTGAAGAGACGCCATCTGTTTATAGTTTACAGCCCAGATTTGTGGAAAAATGGGTCGACTTTCAGTAGAAAAAAAATTGTTTAGCTTTAGCTCGCCAAGTTTCTCTGACTCTTAAACTGTTCTGTGTGGGCGGGGCCAGAGACGCAGCCCTGTGATTGGTCCAGCCAGTTTACACAGAGAGGAGAGGAATGTGGTGAAATACATCAGTCATTTATTGGTCATTGGAACATGATTTAAAAAGAGTGAAAGAACATGTTTACTGTTTGCCTGCAAGAACAAAATTAACCTAATTAGAAAGAAAACAGGTTTGGGATCCCTGGGTTTCTGAAGTCGGGCGTTAAGTGTGAGATGCTTTCTGTTTTCAAAATCTGTGAAGGTTTCTAAAGCGGTGTAGTGAACGCCCAGCTTCAGCCATGCTTATATACACACGTTAGACAGAATTTCTGCGCTTGTATCTTAGTGATAATTCTTAGTGATAATGCTGCTGACCTCTAAGTAATAATTGGTCATATTATTGATGATGATGTGCCATTAGTAGCTACATTGTAACTGTGGGTCTTACCGCAAGCATGATCACTGTAATCTCACTGTAAACTCTCTGTCACTGAACAGATGAAAGGATGCATTAAAGTTCTTAGAGATCAGCCTCCGAACAGTGTGGAAGGCCTACTTAACGCACTCAGGTAACGTCTTGCACACCAGAACCAACCTAATGATAAAAAATATATCGATCAATGATGTGAAGTAAATGTGGACCATTATTTCAGCTTTGCCTTTAAATCAAGAATACAGTTGAGTTTGTTAGCATTTCTTGGCAGGTGTGAAGGCAGTTCCTGTTTAAGAATATCATATGCTGTACTTAATGGCCCAGTCCCATTTCTTATTTCTACCCCTACCCCTTGTTTTCGAGTGTTGCCCCTTGGTCCTGAGTTACAGGGTAGTGGTTGAAATCTTCCCTCTGAAATGGGACCCTCAAATAAAAAGAGCATCACTTCATTAACAGCTACTAGCGCTGCTCTGTAGGCGACCCTGCCAGTCTGCAGTGACAGCAGAGGAGGGTAAAGTTCAGCTCCTCACTGCTGGGCTTTAGTTACATTTAGGGCATCATATGACTTCAAAGAGGGGGGCAATTATTTATTATCACCCACCCTAATTCTTCAGTGATATGAAGCTGAAGTCAGAAATTCACCAGCTTTTTGTTCGAATTTTCCCGTTCCACCTTAAATGGTGCAGCAGTTTTGGTGCCTGAGGTGCCAGAATGTAACTGTAACACCATTTAAGGTGGAATGAGACATTTAGCTAGGTAGCTACCGAGACATCAGGACTATTAGCCATTTTTTATGCTTTTTATGAAGAAAAGGACCAAAATACACTGAAACAACATTAAGATAATACAATGATTATCATAATTTTAACAGAGAAAATTCTCACATTTGTGGGTTTCTTTGGTCTCTTGTTCAGCCATCTTGCCGGTTTTTCTTTTTTTCTCATATCTCTCTGTTTGGAGTCTCTGAAAAACCTCCGTTTGGAGGGTCATGTAGTCCTAACATTTCGCCCTACCCCTCTATCTCAACAAGAATCGGGACACCCCACCCCTAGACGTGAACACACAAAACAGAGGGGTAGGGCTGAGTGGTGGGGGCGAGGGGTGAAATGGGATTGGGCCATCATCTCACCAAATTTGCACCATCTTCTCACTCTGAGATCGCAGATGTTTGGTTCAAAGTGAGTCTGTGTGAAGAAGATAAGCCTCTTTCTCACAGTTCTGGTCACTTAAAGCGCCTCATCGCTAGTGCTGCACTGTGAAAGGTGTTGACCTTGTAGTCTGAAAGAGGCAGTAACCTCTGTAGGATTAGTACAGATCCATCCTTGAATCTTCTTAGAAGAGTTAAGATGAATCGCTTGTTTGTGTTGTCGTGCTTGTGTGAAAGCACAGCGAGCTGGATGGAGCGTAAAGCTGATTTTCTGTGCAGGTATACGACAAAGCATCTGAATGACGAGTCGACCGCAAAGACCATCAAAAGCATGCTGCAGTGAGAAACTCTGGGATATACACACCGCTGGCCTCGCGCAAGTGTTCAGGGGACACACTCCCTCCCGAACAACAGCAATGCACAGAATGTTTCCTTTTATAAACGTAAAAATCCGGTTTTGTTTTCTTTTGTGCCAAACTCTTTTTGGTAAAATCTTGATTTTAACACTTCCAAAAATATGGCCATGCCTCTGACGGCAGCTACATTTCAGTATAAAAAGAAAAAAAATGTTAGATTATTTTTGTGGTTATTCTTTTAATTTAGCTTGTTTCCCTATTAAAGGGAGGGAGAGTGTTTTTGACTTGAAAATTTCAAAAAGAGATATATATTGACAGAGAAATATATATTATTTTTCGTTTGAATTAATATTTAATATTATGTCTTTTGCATGACATAATGGTGTCTTTTTTTCCTCTATTTAAGAAAAAAAAACTAATGTTTCAAATTTGTCTGCTTGGTTGTGTGTAAATTTAAGAATAAGTGAATTTAAATTATGTTTTGCTATTCAAATGGTACTCGTTAAAAAAGGAGATCATCGAATGATAGTACTGTTCGAGTTTTATATTTTTTATAGGTCTTGATTTATGTGGTTTTTTCATAGTTGTGATTTTTTTTTTTTGTTCCTTTTTTGAAAACTAATTTCAAAACTTTCTGATAGGTGAATAATGAAATGAGTTTTTGATGTATGATAACTTGCAATGTGATGTTTGGGAAAAAAAAATAAAATTGCTTTCATTTTTGTAACTTTGTTTCGTTTCGGATATGTGTCCGTCTTTGGATTTGTTTCAACAGGAAGTTACTGTCTGTGTTTACATGCAAAGATTTTCTCCAATCCGACTGAATACATTCCGATTATGGATTAATACTGAGGTGTTTATTGCTCACTCTACTCAACAATCTGATGGAAACCCTCCGTTTTCATGCTCCTACAAGTAATCAGATCCAAAATTATGCGCATGTTTAAAGAACCACTTAGTGTAGACGTTACCATGACAACCAGCATCACGAGTCCAGTCAGAGTGAGATGAGCAGCAGTGAGCAGTGCTTGTGTTTCTAATTACTTTAAAATGATGTCAGACTCAGGAAAACGTCCTTCACATGTCCTTATTAAAGAAGGCCGAGAGGAAGACGTCGTGTTCTGAGACACATAAGCTGGACGTCCGTCCCACCGCCGTCTTTTAAAGACCAGAGCATAAACTTCGTCTCCTCTGCAGACCAGTTTCTGCTCCGCCATGTTGAACGGTATAAACTTTCACTATGGCGTGACGAACATGATCAGAACGGACTTAAACTTTCCGATAGGGAATGTAATCAGATACAGGCGTTTACACGGATATTATTCTTCTATTTAACGGATTATTTACAGGATTACCCACCTCGATCAATAGGATAGAAACTGTATTCCAAATGGCCTCAATTGGACTAGTCTATTCCGACTGAGGTGTTTACATGGACATGTTCTATTGCTATTAGTCGGATTATTAACAGATTATTAGGCTTCATGTAAACGTGGCGAGTGATGTTAGATTTGCTCAATTCAGAACGCACGTTTCAGTTTATGTACCTCCCACATACATCTGTTGTAAACATGTTTATGTACATCTTACAGTGGTTCTGCAGTGAGATTTTCCAATTTAAAGACTAGGAAAACCCCTCCTGATGATGTATGTTGAAGGTGGAAGGAACTTTGGGAAAGGAAGGAAGCAGCAGGAAGCCAGACAGACAACAGCTGTGTCCCAATTCAGGGGCTGCATCCTTGAAAGGCCGCGCAGACCCACGAAGGCTGAACCGAACTGAGACGGTCTGCTCTATGGAGGATTTCCTGCTTGCGTCACAGCACCTGTTTCCGCCCTCATCGCTGTGGCACGAAACGCCGCTCCTGTCGAGCTCTTTAAAAGTTCTTTAAAGACGGAACCAGAAATTTTTTAGTTTTCAATTTATTAGAGCTGGAGATGCTTCTCTCTGACGGCTCTTTGCTCCCTAAAACAAAACGAAACGTTAGCGTGAATTTTCCTTCAGATCACATTGGCTTTTTTAAACATTTGTATCGTTTGCTGTTCGCTCCTCTGTTCTCGAATCCTCGCCGGCTCGAAGTGAACCTCAGAATTTGTTGGCTGGCGAAGGATCCACCCGTTGCCATGGAAAAGAGGGACGCGTTTCTCGGCTGCATATGAAGGAGCCTTCGAAACGGGACAGCGTAGTCACGCCGCTGTGACGCAATCAGCCTTCAAATACAGCCTCTGAAGGATGCAGCCCCTGAATTGGGACGCAGCTATAGGTGCTTCTAGGATACAGTGCTGCGCTACTGAATACCACATAATATGACAAATAACATTAAACTCTAGTTTTCGGACTGAACGCCACAGTGTTTTTACAATGTTTGTCAAAGCCAATTTAGTGTCTTTTGTTCCTTTTAATACTCTAAGCTACTTAAAAAAATATCTGGGTCATTCTACAGAAACACCCACTTTTCTATCTCTCCATAGGAGTCACTGGTGTTACTGATCCTCATTGGGTGTTACACATAATAAAGGAAACACCAGAGACATTTTTAATGAACAATGCATTTTACTAATGGCTGCTACAGAGCATCAAACCACATGTTGTCAATCATGGAATATCCACTAAAATATGGAATTTATTCCATTTGTATTCTATTTTTTCACAGTTACCTCAGAATAAAGTCGGTCACACCAGTGACTTCAGCTAAAAGCTTCATATGAAATCATGAGCTAAATGAGAAAATCTCTGATAACTGAAAGACTCAGTGGACTCACCATGTGCTTTTCTTCACAGATCCTCAGAAAACAGGTAAAAAGAAGTCAAGTGATGTCATCAGTGTGACTTTTATTTCAAAATAAGAGATTTTTTGTTATGCGGTAACACCAGTGACACGACTCCTGGGGACAACAACTCTCATTATATATTTTATAATATTTATTTGGCATTTGTTTTCTTTGTCATTTAATTTATATACCCCATAGTCATGTATAGATTATTGTAGTTCAAATTGCAGAAACGTGTTTTTTTTTCTTCAAAATATGGCCTCATGACTGTGGGAGACGAGCTCTTCTGTGGTGCTTGGAATTCTAGATAATTGATTTAAAAACCAATATTGCTAAATTGAGGCTGAAGAAGGTGAAATTACTAAAATAACTTTATTGCTTTATTTTAAAATATAAATAAATTGTAACCCTAACATGTTTTTTTAAGTGTAATGTATCTGTAAACATTTGTGTTGGACGTTTCTATAGAACGACCCATATATTTTAGTATAAGGAGCAAGATTAACCATACGCTTTTTACAATTCTTAATTCTTGATTTAAGTCAATATTTTAGATCCCTGCTTTTTTTTTCCTTTTCTTTATTTTTGCCTGAACCAATATCCCTTGGCCACACCACCATACCCATCCACAGACCCCCCCAAACACCCCCAATCTCGTCCTTGTTTTGGTACATTGAAAAAACATAAATGACTTGATTCTGAACTGAACTGAAAGTTGTGATGACATAATTTCTTTTTTTATTCATGTAGAGCTTATATACGCATCTGAATCATGTAAATTCAATTTTTTTACTGTACATCTCAGATATAAGACAGCCAAGATTTGGTGCTGTCTGTTTGTCTGTAGTGCACTCAGGCCTCCGGTGCCTGACGGGCAGTAAGAAAGATGTCTACATTTACTGCACCTCTCTGCTCACTCCACTGACAACCAGCTAGGTTTTACAGTGGCTGGGAGCTCAGCTTCCTCCTTCTAAAGCCCTAAATGGCCCGTCTCCAGCTCCCTCCGAGCTATTCTGTTCTCCTGCACTCCCACATGAAATCTAAAATCTGAATCACTTCACTCCTGCAGGGCACTCAGGATTTTTATTTCCAGTATTGTACATTTTGTGCAGGACTTTTGCTATGAATGTCTTATTCACTGGACTATCGCCTCTACATGCACCAGTCCAGCATAACAAAGGTTTTCGTAGCACTTTGTGAGCAGCTGGAATAGCCCAGCATCCAAACCTCACTACTAAAATCTCTGTTCCTGATCATATCGGGAAGATCAGTATTGTCAGAATATCAGTGTTGTAATATTGCTGTTTATTGTTAAAGCCATATGTCCTGCTATATTCTTCTGTTTTTACAATGTCAGGCTTATAACAACAGCAGAACCCTTTTTTGCTGTAAAGAATCTTTTTCAGAAATGTTCTATATATAAAACTATACACACATCACATTCTGCATCAATCTGAAGAACCATTTCATGATGCAAAGAACCATTTAATCATGCAGGGTGTTCATGGCTCTATATAGAATCACTGTCTTTACTAAAGAACCCTTGAAGAACCACTTTTTTTGAGAGTGTAGAAATAGTGCAGAATTTTGATTATGTTTTTATTTTACATGCTTCAAAATTTTCAAAATTCTCAAAGTTGATTTTTTTTCTAGGTTTAAATGAAAATAAGCCCAGATTTTCAATGTGGTCTCAGTCATTCAGACCTGCGGTGGCTACAGTGGTGCTTGAAAGTCTGCGAACCCTTTCGAATTTTCTATATTTCTGCATAAATTTCACCTAAAACTTCAGATTTTTGCTCGAGTACCAATAGTAGATAAACAGAACCCAGTTAAACGAATGAGACAAAAATATTTGACTTGCTCATTTATTTATTGAGGAAAATGACTCAATATTACAGATCTGTGAGTGGCAAAGTATGTGAACCTTTGCTTTCAGTGTCTGGTTTGACCTTATATAGCAATAACTGCAACTAAACCTGTCCGGTAACCGTTGATGAGTCCTGCACATTAGCTTGGTGGAGTTTTAGCCCCTCCAAAACAGCTTTAACTCTGTTATGTTGGTGGGTTTCCTCCCATGAACTGCTGCTTCAGGTCCTTCCACAGCATTTCTATAGGGTTAAGGTCAGGACTTTGACTTGGCCACTCCAAAACACTGTATAACAAAATGCACTGGTTTAGAAATGTAAAAAATCTTTCTTTAGAGTCCAATTTGAGCAGTAAAAGACTGATTAATCGCGATGAACTACACAAAATAATGTGATTGGCTGCAATTCATTATTGTGATCATTAGAAAACCCTACAATCGATTGAAAATGCACCAAGTGATTCAATAATGT